ATGATCTGAATTATTCTGTTTACTCTATTGCTATTATTTCAGAGATACATGATACATTTATCATATGTAGAATTGTCTTGCTTCGTTTAATTATTTTAATGAATCGTCAAATCATTTTAAATTGCATATGTACCCTATGTAAACATTCTCGAATTTTCGTATTTCGTGTTCTATAATTTTAGACCAATAACGAAAATTTTCATATTTTCATTGTCTCTTAGAGCGAAACAATGTAACGGAAAACGTCTCTTGTTCTTAATAATAAAACTAACTTGATTTTTCATCAACTGAATATTTTATAGCGTTCGATAACTATGGACAAAAATATAGTTGGCCACTGGGTAAAGCTAGCAATAAAACTACTGGTCCATAATGTGGGCCTAACCTAACCCAAACATAACCTAATAATTCGTTGATCGAAAACAAACGCCACGTGGCACGAGAAAGAGATCATTGCCTCGGATTTGGAGAAAATATTCAAAGAAGGAACCTATACGTGTTCCATTACCACCCGACTTTCTCCGGCAAAAAGGTTTGAAGGATTTTTCAAGATGGCAGCGCCGGACGGGACACCCGGTATAGCGGAATATCTGAAATTCGCGCTCGCATTAAATCAACGTATACGTTGCACGGTGTCTGAAATTCGATATAGAATCCGTGGTTCGAAGTGCATTCGTTTGCCGCGGTTTCTTTAACGCGCCACGAGGCTGAGCGGAGCAGAAAGTGGAAGAATTATGGCAGTGTGTACGGACACGCCGACACGGGCGCCCCCTGGCCGTTCGCGATCCATTCAGACGATAGCTGACGATCGATAGCCCGCGCATTATTGTGAAATTTCCTTATTACGTGTAAGACGAGGAGCCGCGTGATTTACCGTCCCTGAAAAGAACCGTGGAGAACGAGATCGCTAATTAAAGTCGTCTATATTACCAGGGGGATACCGGTCGAGAGAGCGTATGTAATTAATTCTCCGCGATATCTGGTTACCGTGCTACACAGATACAAGTCCAGATACCTCGTGTAAGAAGGAACGGCGATGGAGTTACGGACTATTCGTGCGTAACGAGGTGAATTTAACTCCTCAAGCTGGTTCTTTTGTGCTTTTTCCTTTTCCCCTAGGCGCCTCCCACCGCGATTGCGGCGCCCCCACGAGTTAACCAGGCAGCCTGTCGTTCGCAATGCGCGAAATTCGAAAAACTAAAACTCGTAATTCGCGTCACATTACGGTAATGCTTGATTAGGTTTACGTGGACCAGTCACGGTCTTTTCTAATCACTCGTAATCGGTGTCTCGAGCTCAACGAATCGAGGAAAGCAAACATATATGTAATACAGAAAATTTTGCTTTTCGTAATTTCCGTGTTACCTTTCTGGAGATAGTATCAATGCGTTATTGGAGTTCTTTCGATTAAAACGATTTCAAACGAAGTATAAATCAGACTGATTTTAATCAAAGTAATTATCACGATTAAAATTGGTCTCGTCGATGATATCGTGTGTGAATTTATTTTTATCAAAGGAATCTGAACGATGCGTTGTAAAATAAAATTTTTCTAGTGGAAAGGTCCCATTAGAGCATCGAATTTCAATTATCGCTGCTCGACGCAATGTATCTATCTTGTTGAAAGGGTGCCCTACACGGTTGGATTCAACTACTGGCTTCTGAACTTTGTCGAATTTAATCGAGTACTATTTTACAGTATCAGTGGATTTTAACGCTGTCCAACATATTTGCTCGTTTAATTTGATTCTCACGAGTGCATATCTTCGGTACTACAAGTCCCATTGAAATTCGCGAATAATTTTTCGATTTTTCATATTTCGTATCCCCTTGGAAAACATATGAAAGATCTCGGGTGGAAAGTCGAGTAGTTTAGAAGGTATGAATTTTATCCGAACACCCATGTACTCGACACACTATACACCGGTGCGATCCGCCCAGCTTGAGGCCGTTGTCACGCCAGCCGTAATTCGTTTCGCGTAACTGGCGTCAGGTGGTTTCCGCAAAAGCGGAAAAAAGAAAAAGGGACATTTCATGCATAGAACGGCGCGAACACTGGTTTACCGGTCGCCGCAAGTGTAAACCGATAATTATACACCGGGCGTCGCGGTGGGCTCGCGCGTGTCGCAATTAAGCGCCGCGACGTTTCGAACGCGCCGCTTAATTTCCTGTTTAAAGTACACGGTCAATTATGTAAACGCCGCTCTCGTTACTTTCTCGACGAAAGTGAACGCCGTGGTATCCGACTACGTTTCGTCAAGTCCTGTTCAGTCGTTTGTTAACACGTTGACTGTCATGGTGGTCATCAGTGACCGGCGCTTGCCTCCTCATTGGGGCCATGGTGGTCACCGGTGTCCAGCGATACTAATTTTTTAAATTTATATTTGCTTCATTCTAACCAATTTTCGAATATTTGAAGACTAAATTAATAGAGAACTTTAATAATTTCCACCATTTTTTTCTTTCTTTGCCATATGGTTTGATAATTCATTATTATATCTTAAAAATAATGGAAATTTTATCGTGGCTTCTTGTGTGTACCATATTAAAAATTGTATGGCAGTCAAAGTGTTAAAAAGATCGGGCAATCCAATTGACAGTTGGATTTACCATCTATAGTAACGTCTGTAATGTAACAAGCCATTTTCTTGGATCTTTTATTTTTGATGAAAAATAGGCTATATATTGGAAAATAGTCGAAAAATAATCTGCATATTGGAGTAATCAAAAATGCTCGAAATATATATTCGAGGAATAAAGTAATAATGACATCAATTGCGATTAGTATGTAAATTTCACGTCGTTGTACATACAACACTTTTCTTTCTTCTCGCTTCGACACTGGATGATAAATATTCATACACGGAAGCACTCGAACGATTACAGTTGCTGTTTTCAATACGAGTGTTTGAAATGATACGGTATGCATATCAGAAGGTTTCAAGATTATGTCAATAAAGTTGGAAAATAATTCGAAGGTATGTATATTTACAGTGCTGTTGAGCCATCTTTAACTGCTACAAGAATTTTCTATCGAGAGCACTAATGCCTCTATATTTCGTAGTTATAGTCCATAATAAGTATACTGTAAATATCGCATAAATCGTTGAATTATTTTCTAATTTGTTCGATACAATCTTGACATTTCCTTCTTGCTATATACGCACGTACAATTTTATGTACTCCGATTTAACGTAAATATTTCGCTTATTAAACGAATATAAATGGCGGATATAAATGTTCGAATGCCTTCGTTATAGAGCGTGAAATAACGTTATAGAATATGAAACATATATATAGGAGTTTTAAAGAGGAGCATTCCATTTTTAATTCCCCGCGAAAACATTAAGGTGGCAAATGGAATCGCGAAACCTATTACAAATTTATTGCTAGTTTCAAAGATTTAGGTGATCCGATATAAGAGTATAAATTTATTTTATAGATTCAATTATCTGGAATTTATGGTTGCGAAACGATTTCAATTTTGGCTTCCTTCATTAGTTCCTTCGATGTTTCATGTACTTGGAAGGTTGCAAATGAAGGTAGAGATGGGAGAACGCTAATGAACATCTTTTGGCCGGTTTCCTGAATTTTGAATACGTCGCAGTTGAAATTTGCTGCACTCGGCATGCAGGTGTGCAATGCAGTGGCCTTGCATACGTCCTTACTATGGAAAACTATTCCGAAATTCTGTAGTTCCAACGCGAGGCTACTTTCGTGAATGTATAATGGAGTAATTACTATTAGAAAGTAAGGCGGTGGAGAAAAGTCCGCTAAGTACCTCCTAAATTTGACTGGAAACCAAACGGAAAGTAGAAAAAGAAATTGAATAATTTAAGAAGAGAGAGAGGGAGAGCGGGAGAGTGAAAAACATGCAAATGTTCAACCTCGAAAATAGCGAAAGGGTCACTATCGTATCATAAATTCAAATGGCTTCGTAATTCTTAACAAGATCTTTAAATTCATCTCGAAGTCGACTTTAACATGCTCCAAGTACAGAAAATCGCAAGTCCGGTATAAAACGCGAAAGTCTAAAATCTCGGAGTATTCGTGCATTTTCCAATCCTTCGTACGCTTCCATCTCACGATTGCCACTCGCAATTAGGTCAGAAAAGAGAAGGAAGGATTTTTCAAACTCTCGCAGCGAAATCGCTTCAGCCTCATTTATAAAAGAGAAGCTGAGAACACGGACCATGATTCCTCTTTTTTGATTAAGCAAGTACCGTACGACATGTCGGTAATCGTCGCGATACGTTATCTCAGATGCATAATCTAGATACCGCGTTTACATTTTTAATCCACGGCATAAATAAAAAGGCGGTCCGTATCTGCAGCTTCTTTGCTACGGTACAAAGAAAATCTCGAGGCGAAAAATGTGCACAGCCCATTAAGCAGGCGTTCCACAAATCCCTGAAAAGATGGCAAGGTGGTCGACCTCGAATGCAAAAGAATTAGCTCTCTTTCACGGTGCGCGATCTTTCTCGCGCGATATCTGCAGCTACTGAACGGCAGTGGCGCATCACTGACGGTACAAAAGTGGCAGCGATGCGGCAGAATTTAAACGCTGCGAGTCACTCGGTAGCCAGGTGATCCTGAAATGGTCGATACGGGTGCCCTTATTACGCGGCCCGTCCTTAATTCAGAGTTACGCCACTGCGGCGTGCGTCTACCTGCGAGGAAGAGCTTCCAGCCCGACGAGGATCCTTCGATTATCCGGGCCAGAGGAGGCGAAAGAGCAAAGGTTGTTCTCCACTACGCGATAGTATGTCGCCGCGATATTGGCGAACCGACAGACGCATGCGTCGTCGCCCGAGGACTCGCTGCAATTTTGGAATCTTGTCAACAAACATCTCACTGCGCCCTTAACCCGTAAGCTGCGCTAGCTTCCCGCGCGACTCCGCTTTTTTCCAGATCGACCCGCGACACAGTGTTCGACTGCGATATCCATCTCGACGTGAACGGACTCCCGGTCAGGTGGCTCGAAAGATTTCAGTCCGTGCTTCCCGTCCGTGAACAAGGAACGCTGTTTTGGGAGTGTCGTCGCATACCGAGTGAACGTGCAAGCGAGAGTGATCTGCCTCGAGGGGGTGTAAGAGGATCGTTGATCGCGGTGGCATACCAGTGGTAAAAGTGTCCTCGTAAATTGAGACGTTGATGAGCCGAGGATAGTCGAAGGGATTTTCCACGCGCGTGTGACAGAATGGACGAGGAAGAAGCAGAGATCGACCCGTCGGCCGCTGCGACGCTTTCCAAAAGGTAGAGCACGATGGAAATTAACGATTAATCGTTCCCCAGATCAGTCTCTCATGTCTGTCTCGCTGGGTTTAGCATTGGCTTCCAACGAATCGATATCGTCCTTGATCATCCTCAGAAGGTCTATTACAGCGGACGTCAAATCTCGGGCAACGTTCACTTGGACTTGGAACAGCCGACGTCTGGCGTAGGTAAGCTGTGCTAGAGATCGAACCTGATCGAAAATTCGTGTTTCGATGAAAATTTTTACCCCCCGATTTTTTCGTGGAACGAGAATCTTTCGAGATCCGATGCACGCTTTCTCCACCTCGCGGAAGAAAGTTAGCAACGAGAGCGTCAGTGTATTGCAGATAAATTTGTCAGATAAGCGTGGACAAACAGAGAGCAGATCGTCGCTGATATCCTTTGTACAGAGGCATCGTAATTAATCTTGGAAACCGCGGAACTGGCTGTCGAATAAATTTGCCACGGAACTATAGTTTTAAGTTTCGCCTGGTCGTGATACGGTATCCTGTCGGCCATGTTATCTCCTCTGTGTTGCCTCTGATACATCGAAAGCGACCGTTGTTCGATAGGCAAACGGAACATCTCTGGGGAAGATATTCGATTGGCTCGTTGTAACGAGACACGAGCAACTTGATATTTATTCTCGCGATGTTTACCCGTGTTGTCGCTTGGCAATCACAAAAATTTCTTCTCTGCCCGAGTCGAACGCGTGCCAAACGTGCCATCGATCGTGTTGCATAACGGGTGACCTAAAAGATTTTACTACCGCTGTATACACGCCACCAGGCGAGGTACCACGTGACTCTGGTATTGCAGGAACGCTCGTAGAACGGTTGCAAGCGGTGGAAGAGTCTCTCGTACATTCACGAGTGACTATCCACCTGGTCGAGAGATCGTTAAGCCGCGTCTAATGCCCTGTTACTGGTAAAATATGAACGTGTCTTTTGCACCTGCCCTTTGCCAACCGATCTCTGTCTTTCGAACTCTGCTTCATTCTACATCTTGTCTCATCGCGCCTACCCAGTGATTAATACCGCAACTACCGACCTGTAACGTGTACCTAAACGCGGTACAGACAGTAATGCACGATACATATTCTCCCGAAGGATATCAGCGACCGATTGAAACGAAATTTGAGAGGAGTGATCGAGAGAGTGGATAGACTGGAAATACAAAATTTCAGCTTTGGATACTTATTAGTTTCCGAGATATTGGATAAAGAACTTCGATATCATGGACACACTGTGTGTCTGTTAGACCTCGCGATGATGTAAGCAGCAGCACACTTATTTACCCTGAACTAACACTGTCATTATTGCACCATCCACTACTGGACAGTCTACCACGACTGCTATAGCGAGAACTATATTGGATTACCCGGATTAGAAATACGGAATATTCCTCTCGGTAATATTTTGGAAATTAATGAACATTCGAAGCTAAAGTTTTACCAAAATAATTCTAGCGTTAGATAATTTTTTATCCTATTCTATATGTAATACCTAGCAAATAGTTAAATCAGTCCATCATGATTACTATAGCGGGAACTGTATTGGATTACCCGAATTAGAAATATCGAATATTCATCTCAATATTTTGGAAATTGATGAACATTCGAAGCTAAAGTTTTACCAAAATAATTCTAAAATTAGATAATTTTTTATTCCAATCTATACGTAATACTTAGCAAATGGCTAAATAGGAGTTTACCTGAGGCAACCACGACTACTATAGCGGGAACTATATTGGATTACTCGAATTAAAGATACCGAATATTCCTCTCGTTAATATTTTAGAAATTAATAAACATTGGAAGCTAAAGTTTTATCAAGATAATACTAACGTTAGATAATTTTTCATTCCAATCTATACGTAATACCTATCAAATAGTTAAATCAGTCCCCCACGCCTACTATATCCGGAACTGTATTGGATTACTGGGATTAAAAATACCGAATATTCCTCTCGTTAATATTTTGGAAATTAATAAACATTCGAAGCTAAACTTTTACCAAGTTTATCTAGCGTTTATCTAGCGTTAGATAATTTTTTATCCCAATCTATACGTAATACTTAGCAAATAGCTAACTAGATGTCTACCTGATGCAACCATGACTTCGTTAGTACCCCAACGTGTTTGGTGACACGTATATTACCAGCTCGGTAACGATAAACATAGTTAAGAATAAACGTTTTTCTGCTGCATTGCTAAAGTAAGTTCACGCTTTTCACGCATAGGGATCAGGCTGAAATGCAAAGGAGAAGCTCAGGTGTATTTCACGGATCGATCAGCCGGCATTCGTCGCAAGTTTTCGGCGTTTGAAAATTATCTTCACGTGGAAACGTATCTGGTCGGCGGTAAGTACAACTCGCTGATAGCGATTGGTACACGAAAGCTGGATGTCGGACTAACAGATTCTCGTCACGAGTAGATGGTAAAGAAAAGTGTATGATAACTGGAGGCGTCTACCCGTTCAGCCTAACGCTGTCAGAGAACTTGCCGTGCAGCTTCGAGGGCCGATACGGACGAGTACGGTACTCGATTAGGGCATTGTTGGACGTAACGACCATTTATCGGTTTTCCACCAATATTATTCCATTCACGGTGGCTCCTATTCTTGACCTTAATCGAGATCCTCTCGCTACCGTGAGTAGAAATCTAACAACGGACGATATTGCTTTCGCGATGTGATTTCGTTCCCGGGACGCAATGCGCTTTCGAATTAACGCTCGCTTTTGTGCTCCCTTCGTGCAGCCGAGCCAGCACTATGATCCTGTTTAAACAATACGATCGTTTCAGCTGCCAATAAATATCAAACAGTCGAAGATGTACATCGGCCAAACGGAGGCCCTCAGCATGTCCATGGCGCTTCCGGTTCACGGTTACGTCCCTGGCCAGACTATACCTATTCAGATAGTCATGATCAACCCGTCTACGGTTATGGTTAAGAAACTGAGAATCGTTTTCAAAAAAGTAACCCTGTTTTCGTTTAACTGTAGCGTAGTTAAGTGTGTTTCTTTCCTTTTTCACGGCATGCTGCAAATATCTTGGTTTCGAGGCTGGGTTTCCAATTAATTTCTCAATTCTCGGAAATTGGAAAGATTTCGAAATTTTTTTAAATCAAGATTTCATTTTGGATAGAGAATGTTTTTAATCGTTAAGTCATGGCTGAACAGATCGCAAATGAAAATATAGCAACGTAGAAAAATATTCTTGTTCAAGAGTACCAACGTTCGAAATTTTTCTGGATTAACCTGTTTTCTTTTTCATCGAATACAATACCGGTCTACTGAAAAATTTTACAGATAATAAACATTAACAGTGACGATTATGATATTTATGATTTATGATATTATGATATTTTTCTTTATTTATTCGTCAATTTTATATATTTTTTTGGCCAAATTCCGAGAAGTTTGGATCACGAAGGAAATTTTGAAACTCTCGCGAATTTCGAGGAGACTCGACGTTTTGGGAAACCCATGCCTGGTTATTTTTTAATTTTCCTAGCTAGCGTGAAAGTAGTGACGTCTTAGATAGTAAGAGTGCACTTGAAACGGAATTAAATTTGGTAGAATTTTGTTTGAGAACAGCACCTTTTGACGCAGCGTATTGCAGTAAAATTTTCTGGGTCATGCTCGTATGATATATTTCTTTTATTAGATCTACATTCAGCCATCTGTTGTTCTAAATGGTGCATATTTTCTTAGGTGGTGTCCTATCACTCGACGGAAAAGTCGCGTAAGCACAAAGAAATCGTAGTAGAAGTAGAACAGCCGGTTAATAAAGACACCAATACATACGACGTCGCGTTTGACGTTCCTGCAGTACCACCCACCGGGATGATCCACTGCAACATCATCGACGTTCTGTACACGCTTAAAGTGAGGCTGTCTCAAATTTTGCAACGCTCGGTTCGACGATAAAATCAGAATGAGCTGAAATTACAGCTGCTCGAAAACCTAATTTCCATACAAATTTCCTCGGTATTTTGTGTCGCCAGAGGAAGTACAAATTACTCTCTAACCCATTCATCATTTCTACACCCTATTACGTTTTCCTGTTATTCGCGAGGATAATTATCTTCGTTTAACTTAACGATGACGAAAAAAAATAGGAAATCTTTGAATTTTCTCCATATCGTTACGTGTTTGGAAAAGTAATTATTTCAATTCAATTCAACGATAGTAAAGGAATAGAAAATCTTGGAATTTTCTCCATATCGTTACATGCATGGAAACACGATTATTTCGATTTAACTTGGCGATAGTAGAAAAGTACAAAACCTTAGAATTTTCTACATATTATTATATATTTGCAAAAATAATTATTTTCACCTAATTTAACGATGGCTAAAAGCTAGAGAATATTAAAATTTTCTCCATATTATTACGTGTTCGCAAAAATAATTATTTTCACTTAATTTAACGATAGCGAAAAGCTAGAGAATGTTTGAATTTTCTGCATATCGTTACGTGTTCAGAAAAATAATTATTTTAATTCAATTCAACGACAATAAAAGAATCTTAGAATTTTCTCCATATCGTTACATGCATGGAATCATGATTATTCCCATGTAACTTGACGATAGTAAAATGATAAACGATAAAATGATAAATGATAAACGATAGTAAAAGAGTACGAAATCCTAGAATTTTCTCCATATCATTACATATTCGCAAAAATAATTATTTTCACCTAATTTAACGATAGCGAAAAACTAAACAATATTAGAATTTTCTCCATATCGTTACGTGTTCGGAAAAGTAATTATTTTAATTCAATTCAACGATGGTAAGAGAATTTTAGAATTTTCTCCATATCGTTACATGCATGGAAATATGATTATTCCGATTTAACTTGATGATAGTAAAAGAGTACGAAATCCTAGAATTTTCTCCATACGATTACATATTCGGAAAAATAATTATTTTTACCTAATTTAACGATAGCGAAAAGCTAGAGAATATTACAATTTTCTCCATATTATTACGTGTTCGCAGAAATAATTATTTTCACCTAATTTAACGATAGCGAAAAGCTAGAGAATATTAGAATTTTCTCCATATCGTTACATGCATGGAAACACGATTATTCCGATTTAACTCGACGATAGCAAAAGAGTACAAAATCCTACAATTTTCTCCATATTGTTACATATTCGCAAAAATAATTATTTTCACCTAATTTAACGATAGCGAAAAACTAGAGAATGTTTCTTAGAATTTTCTCCATGTCGTTACATGCACGGAAACATAATTATTCCGATTGTACTAAACGATAGTAACGAAATAGAAAATGTCAGAATTTTCACCGTATCGTTCGAGCGACTATTCAACGTCAAGTTTAACGATTTGCTCGACCATAACCGGCATAAGAAAGAAAGAAATTCTCGTTAAAATTAATCAGATCGTTAAACGTAGATTGAATAGATCGCCTCTACCAACTGTACGTTCACACGAAGCTTTTTTTTCTTTCTTTCCATCTTCATCGAAAGGTCGAGGCCTGCGTAGACGTGAGCGAGTGGTACTACAGAATGTTTCAGAAGAACTTGAAACTGCGAACAAATATAGTAGTCGGCACGGTACCACTTCAAAATTACGAGACCCCGCAAAAAACGGTCGACGTGACGGAAGCTTTTTCATTTCATCCCCCGTGCACCACGGCCACGGAAGAATACGCCAACGACACGCCGCCGTTGAAAAACTCCGAGAGAGTGGAAACTGCTAGACCGAGTTTGTCTTGTACGTACTACCGCGTTACACAATATACAGCTGCTACATGTTAATTACCGGTATTTGCGGAAACTACCAGTCGACGGTTTACATTATTCTCTTGTTCGAGAGAGTAAATACTCCTGGACAGCTGAGAAGCGCCGCCACACTATACACCCTGTCTCTCGTAATTAAAAGTTCCGCTAAAACTCCAAACGATGCTGTCGCGATGCACCACGCGATGAATCTTTATGTCGAAATAATTATGAATATGTATCCCGGAAAAATATTCTGTTTCATCACACGAGAAATCTCTGATTACGCGAGAGTCCAGATTCTTTGTCTTAATATTAATTTAATGGAAAATGGAAAATTTGGGTAGCTATTTTTGACGATGTTTGGGGAAATAGCGTGGTAAACGTGGGTTCGAATACTGGAATTTTTGAAAATTGGAAAATTTGTAAGATCCCGAGTCTCTCGAATTTTTTAAAAAATGAGATAGGTTCTTGACAAAAATTTGCATAAATCTTATTATTCGTAATCGAATGAAACACAAATCAGATCACGACGATGTAGAATGAATCTTCTAGATTCTGGTTTTTAAAATTAAGTAAAATCCTAACTCTTTTTGTGGCTAATAATTATGAATAGGTATCCCGGGAAAAATATTTTCTTTCGTCAAACGAGAAATCTCTGATTATGCGAGAATCCAGATTCTTTGTCTTAATATTAATTTAATGGAAAATGGAAAATGTGGGTAGCGATTTTTGACGATATTTGGGGAAATAGCGTGGTAATCGTGGGTTTGAAACTTGGAATCCTTGAAAATTGGGAAATTTGTAAGATCCCGAATTTGCCGAATTTTTTAAAAAATGAGAAAGGTTCTTGACAAAAATTTGCATAATTTTATGAATATGTATCCCGGAAATAATATTTTCTTTCGTCAAACGAGAAATCTCTGATTATGCGAGAATCCAGATTCTTTGTCTTAATATTAATTTAATGAAAAATGGAAAATGTGGGTAACGATTTTTGACGATGTTTGGGGAAATAGCGTGGTAATCGTGAGTTCGAATCCTGGAATTTTTGAAAATTTGGGAAAATTGTAAGATCTCGAATCTTTCGAATTTTTTAAATGCAAGAAAAATTCTTGGCAAAAATTTGCATTAATCTTATCATTTGTAATCGAATAAAACACAAACCAGGTCACGAATTGTCTAAATTCTAATGTAGAACGAATGTAGAACGATGTAGAACAATTTCAGTATAGAACGAATCGCTTAAATTCTAATTTTAAAAATTGAGTAAAATCCTAACGCTTTTTATGACTAATCTACATACTTTTCTTTTCTTGTTAACTATAACCGCGTTAACTATATAATTTTTGGAAAAAACGGAGAATCGAGAGAATTTTTCCTTTATTTATCGATTCTATATTTTCCCTTGTCAAATTCCGACAATGAGAAGCTTCATCGTTTCGACGTCTCGAGATCGTCAACAGATTTTCCGGAACTTATATCGAGACAAAGTATCGTCGTAAAGGAAATAACATCGTTTTCTGTAGTTAATAACAGAATGAGAGTAAATCTACGAGACGATGTAAAGAAAATATTTGCTAATCGAAGAGTGGCGGACGCTTCGTGTGTTGCAACCCTATCCATTATCCTCTAAAACCAACTTGTCGCAAGGTTTACCCGAATCTGTCTATTTACCGAGTAGTTCTACCGGGACTGACAAAGCTAAACCGATGTTTCTTCCAACAGTGCCGCTGTACGAGAAAAGTCAAATATATCGATCGTCGAAACCGGACATGGACGATCCCACGGGAGATGATGGCGACAGCGACGGGGAGGTCAAGCCATATTCGCCTATGTATCGCGTGTACAAATTCAAATCATCCCACAAGAAGGGTCGTTAGACACGTGCTTGACTACGTAACTAGAGAGGGCCTTGCTTAATTATTCGTCCAAAGATTCGACGTTCGTTAGCGGTGTCCGCAACGGATCGCAGAGGGAGAGAAAGAAGAAGAAGAAGATGAAGAAAAATGGGTGAACGTGATACTCTATGAAAGTAAAATTATTTCCAGAAATTTTATACACTCTAAGCTGGGCGTGCACCAAGGTGTACGCGTAAATTTTACGTCCAATTTCGCGCTCTATCGATCGACCGGTTGCCTTCGATTCTTGCCTTTGGTTTCTTATTTTCTTACACGGAAAGAGCACAGAGAGGAGAGAGAGAGAGAAGCAGTAAAGGGGGTTATTAGAACGAAAGAAGCACGGAGTGAGATATTAAAATCCGTTGGGACCAACCTGGCCAGCTAATTAAATTCCGTAATCACGTGAGCGACTCGCGAGGAAAATTATTCTACAATGATTGCGCAGCCCGCGCGAGTGCCGATAACATCGAAACAAAGTTTGCGTAACACCCAACTACGTGTATTGCTTTAATGTTCAATAAAAATATTCTCGTCAATTTTCCCTGATAAATTAGTTCCCCCATTTTACGTGTTTTGTTCCTCTCTCAATGGAATAATCAAAACGGTGTGGATCAATGTTAGAGTCTGCCTTTATTTGCTCCTATAGCCATTCTAAATTCCACGTGTTAATCAAAACGCGAATATTTGCAATATGCAGTCACTTGTGAACGTAAATCACGAAAATTCAAACGCCTGCGCTTCGGATGCTCGAAACGTGAAATACGCGCAGGATGGGCTCCTATTTCCAAAATAATACCGATGTTGAGGTAATACGAGTGTTGAAAATGCGTAGATAAAATTATTCCATTCTATATCTTATTACTACCTGTTCCAATATTTTTGACGATTTCTATAAACATAATAGACATCATTATATTCAATATTCTACGAATTCTACATTTATCGTCAGATTTTTATTAATTAACCCTTTGCACTCGACAATTTTTTGGCTAAAACAGGGTACGAGTTGAAAAATTTTCTGCTATAAGGCTGATGATATTTTTTGAGCAGTAAATAAGGAATCGTATAATAATTAACACGTAGAATTATTTAATTTTGATACCTCTGACAGTGTTATATTATTTTAAATTTGATATATTAATTTATATCGAGCTTCGAAATTTTATGAAATGGCGACTGAAAGGTGCCCCTCGAGTGCAAAGGGTTAAAGAATTTGTAATTTTCAGCAGATTTTAATTAATAAATAACGAATAATAAATAACGAATAAGGAAATAAAATAAATAACGAATAATAAAAACAGGCTGCTCTGATACTTATATAATACTTTCATATAATACTTAATATAATACTAATGCTTAATACTTCCATGAGTGACTGCAAATATTCGCGATAATAGAATAATCGATAGAATTAGCACTATTTCCTGTTAGTCGTATCACCAAAAATTAAAAATTAGCAAATCGAGGAACATAAAGAAGAAAATTAATGAAAATGCAATTTTACAGAGACTTACTGCATTCTCTGAGATTGAAAATCATCGTTTGAAAATTCCACGAATATTCAATTCTACCGAGATTGAAATGCCAAGTTTCTGTCCTTTATCCCTCCATTAAAGTATATATTTCAAGTAAAAAGGAACGAGCGAAATATTACTAGGGATCGAAAAAATGCATTTCAAGCAACACAATTCATGCCGATCATTAAACCGTGCCAGGGTACCGTTTCGTAATCTTCCCAACATATGTACGAGCAAACGGTCTCGTTCACGTCGCACGCTTGAATTAATGACGTCGTTAATGCGTGATTCAACAATAACGCGCATCGATCGTCGTGGAAATGCAATTACAGAAAGTGGTGGTCGGAGCAGGTGGCAAGTAATCGGTGTACAAGGCCTGATGACTGAAAAACGCAAAGACGAGATCTCATCTAGCCGCTGCACCTCGAGACCTGTTTCCATCCTTCCTCGACTCCTTTTAAATGTTTTACGAAATAAATGAAAATTCCATCCTCGATTCCCTATGCTATAAATCACCGTAATAACTATAAATATAAATCATCATCGACTATTTATTGCACAGAATATTACTACTCTTCGCTACTTCCTTTTTATTCCATAACATCCATTCGAACTCCTTCGACTGAAATTCGAAAAATCGAATACCATTCCTAACCTCGCAATTTTCTACTTCAATCGATAATTTATCGTATACGAATAGGGAATGGAAGTGCAAGTCATCTAAATACAGTACTCGGGCATTGAAAAATTCCGCAATTAGGGGAAGACGTTCCTCCTTTTAGTAAATGAAGAATATTTCGACAGCTTCAGTCGTTATAATTTATCTAGCTAATGGTTAATATTAAATAAAGTTCAATCGGTGATTTAAAACTCGAGATGTTCATCTACGAAAGGTAATAACGTTGTCTAGAAAAATTTACTATCGATTGCATCGAGTCACGCTACCCCGAGGATCATTTGATGAAAATGCATGGCATGATACCCAATATCTTGCAATTGCTTTACACTAGAGCGAATACTTCAAGGTGTGCTCCCTATCAGCTTCTTGATTTTGAGGTTGGTAGCAGGTGATGACGGAACTAGGAGAGTAGCTTTAACTTTGAGAGCTTTCGATATCGCAATGGTGGGTCTTTGATTACGTCCGCCCGTCTAGCAAATGCTTCCCGTCTTTCTCTGTTCTCCTTCGACAGCGTTGCGTCTTCCTCCGCCATGGTGTGTACATCACTTTGAAAGACCACATCATAGGTGGCCAGGTCTGGAGGTTCGGCTTAATCACGACCCTGCAGCAGAAGGTTATCCTAATTTCGTAGTGATTAAACGTTGCTGGCTTGTAGCATCGACCAGGAGACGAGAAATTCTCGAAAATTGAAGATTCTTGCGGACCAGTTGGTCTTTCCACGAAATTTTCCTAAGGTTAAACCACATTATCAAATACATCGCTGTCTAACCCTACTAAATGGTTCATTATACCATCGATTTTACCCTAGAAATCTCAGTCTCTATTATTTGCGAAGGTGCATGCATTCTACCATTAATTTAAATATCTCAGAGAATTGTCTACCACGATTTTCGTAGCGATCAGACATTGCAGGCTCCTAATATCGACTAGAAAACGAGAAATTCTCGAAAAATGAAGATTCTTGCTGATCAATTGGTTTTTCCTCGAAATTTTCCTAAGGTTTAACCACAGTATCAAACACATCGCTGTCTAAATGGTTCATTATACATTCGATTTTACCCTAGAAATCTCAATCTCTGTTACTGTCTAACCTTGCTAAATAGTTCATTATACCATCGATTTTATCCTAGAAACCTCAATCTCTCTTATTCGCGAAAGTGCCTGCGTTCTATGATAAATTTAACCGATTAACAGTTTATCCCGTGACAGTCATGGGCAGAGTACTATACACGGACTAATTACTAACAAGATATATATAAAACACTTTTTTTTTTCTATATTTTTTATTACATGCCGAAGTGTTTTCGAACATTAAGAAACTGTATACTTTTTGGACCTGAATTCGTAATTTTACCACACTGTGAAAGGGTTAAACATCTCAGAGAATTGTCTATCACGATTTTCGCAGCGATTAGACATTGCTGACACCTAACATCGACTAGAAGATATTTTTCTGATATTTTTCTGGACTTAGACCACAATCTTCGCCATTGTTTCTCATCCTCGCCAAATAACTCGTTGTATCATCGATTTTAGTCTAATAATCTCGAAGCATGCTGTTTGCGACAGTTCCACGACTGATTTAAAAAAGCTTACAAAATTCAGCAGCACAATTTCCTAGCTTCTATTAAATAATTTCTCACGTTGGCCTCGTTACGATGGTCTTATCGTGTTTAATAACACGTCCAGTGGCTATAATTAATTTTCAATCTGAAAGGGTTATTACAAGGCGACCTCGAAAACTAACTTATAGCCGAAAACTGAATGGTTGGAAGAAATCGCGTATTATTCGCACAGGCTATTGCACTCGGAGCTCCATTCAAGCAGACGAAGAAACGAAAGCTTCGTTGTACAGCAGAGAATCGATCTCTCAGCGAGGTCAGGTCGCCCCGATATACCCTTACGTTGAAGTCACAGCGTCAGAGCGTGCACCTAATTAAAAGTTCGTACTACTTCTCTAGATCGCGTTGGCACGGAGTTGCAACTATCGGCTGTCGTGCAAGAACAAGTATCCGCGAAGGACTGTCGCTGGTTTTGCATTTGGAATTTCTCCTATCGAAACTGAAAACAATTTTTCCAACAAATCTGCCTCCAGGGATCGACGAAACCAAATTCACCGGAATGGTCATTTTACACAGGCATTTAAAATGAAAATTACAGAGATCATAGAAGATACATATACCTTCCCAATGCCTATACATACATAACAAAGCTTTTAGAATTAAAACATAAGCGAAATTAATTTTACTTCTCATTAATAAATTTTTCTTTTACAGAATCGACTTGAAGACTCGAATAAAATATTTTGAAGTACAATTTTCGTTTCACGTCTTACGTTTACAGTGAAATGGCAAGAAAAACGTAACAAAGTAATCGGGAACGAAACGCAGGGCTTGTATTCCTTTGAAAAATCGAAGGGTAATACATTATCAGGTAAGCAGCCAATGTACTCGCACCCACCCGGCTGCTTACTCTTTTCTTCGAGCCTGCAGAGTCTGAAAATCGGGTTTGCAATACAATGAGGGCTTTCAAGGCAGCGTGCAATGTTGGCACTTGCCAACCGAACGATAAAGTTTCCTCTGAATTTCCCGCAGCGCTCGTGGCAGGTGACGAGTTTACGTGGATTTGCTCCAATCAGAATTTGTTACGTATATGCACGGCACATAGTTACCAATGAAAACACTCGCGACGATGACATTTTCCCTGATATCGTTGACACCTGTACGCGTGGGTGTATTCTACAATACTTTAGCTACCTTATAACGGGTCTACGACTGTGAGATAATCGGGAGATAAGAAAAATTGAAAGTCACTGATTTATGACACACTTACAAGTCCATATCAATTTTTTAACAAATATAATTCATTCCGTCACCTCAAAATTTAAACATCGCAAATTTCATCGAAGATATGAAATTATTTAAATTTACAGTTGAAATATATTCGTATATTCAATTCAAACTTCGCGCCTTAAAAAGTCAGCGTGTTGGCAATCCTTGAAACTAATTATATGTCATATTGTGAATATGGTAGGCCTTATAACGAGACAATGACCGTGAGATAATCGTTTTTCCCTGATATCGTTGACACCTGTACGCGTGGGTGTATTCTACAATACTTTAGCTACCTTATAACGGGTCTACGACTGTGAGATAATCGTGAGATAAGAAAAATTGAAAGTCACTGATTTATGACACACTTACAAGTCCATATCAATTTTTTAACAAATATAATTCATTCCGTCACCTCAAAAATTAAACATCGCAAATTTCATCGAAGATATGAAATTATTTAAATTTACTGTTGAAATATATTTGTATATTCAATTCA